TGCATCCCCCACCCTCCTCACCCAGATTCCCTAACACCCTCCAAACCCTGTCCCTCGGCCCAGGGCTGAGGCCTCGAGGCCCCGTGGACAGGGGTTTGTCTGTGGCTCTGTCCTGCCTCCCGAAGGCGGGCGGTGTACTCGGTCATGGTCACGGTCACGGGGGGGATCCCACCACGGCGGCTGAGACGGCGGAGGAAGTGGTGCCGTGAGTGTTGCCGAGATTAATCATGGGTTTTGGCCCTTTGCCTTGTGCCCCCCAAAATGGCATTTCCTTAAATAGATCAGAACCTTAACAACTATGTGGTATTTGGGGTGCATTTTATGGCCCTTAATTAAACTTCAGACACATTAAAACATTTTAAGATGTTTTATGACCTATTCTTAATCTTTTTTTTGTGGCGATTTGTGTAACTTCTTGGCTCTCAGACTCCAGCCCTCAACCCTCGATGCACAGAGGTGGGACTCATCTAAGGGCGCAGGAGCGGGGAGGGCACATGTCCCAGCTCGGGGAGCTGCCCGCCAAGGGCAGCGGGGGCCAGGGGAGTCTGAGCTCTGGTGAGCTGAAGAGGGCAGCTGAGGGCCCTGCACACAGGCCACAGCCATCTGCCTACAGATCACCGTCGGCCCTTCCTGGATGGAAGGAAAATGGGGTGAAGCACCTCATTTGAGTCTGTGCTCAAAGCTTTTTTTTCATATAAATTTATTTATTTATTTATTTATTTGGCTGCGTTGGGTCTTTGTTGCTGTGCGCGGGCTTTCTCTAGTTGCGGCGAGAGGGGGCTGCTCTTTGTTGTAGTGAGCAGGCTTCTCATTGTGGTGGCTTCTCTTTATTGCGGAGCACAGATTCTAGGCACGTGGGCTCAGTAGTTGTGGCTCGCGGGCTCTAGAGCGCAGGCTCAGTAGTTGTAGCGCACGGGCTTAGTTGCTCCACGGCATGTGGGATCTTTATGGACCAGGGTTCGAACCCGTGTCCCCTACGTTGGGAGGTGGATTCTTAACCACTGCGCCACCAGGGAAGTCCCTCAAGCCTTTTTTGAACTCCCGTAACCCTCTTGTTTTTGTTCAAACTTAGACTTATCTTGTGCAGTAGGAGAGCCCTGAAGACACCTGAAAGCTAAATGTGAAATCTGAATTCATTAATTAGCAACTTGTATTATAATTACTATGTGTCTCTGTTTTAAAAGAAAACTGTTTCATTCTTAGAGAGCTTGGCATTGCCTGTGAATAGTGCGAAGAAAGTCCTCCCGTTAGTGGTGCATGTTCCCCTCAAAAAGCACCAGTTTTGGCTCTATGAGTATTTTTTGTAAAGGGGTCAGCCGGCCACCTGCAGAGCTGTGGTGTCAGGGCCCGTAGGGCGGAAGGTCCTTGACCCTGCAGCTGCTTCAGAGAGAAACGCACTGGAAGACAGGTCTCATAGTCCAGGACCTTCCTCTTCACTGGAAGTACCACTTTCTGAAAACAGAAATTCCATTTCTAGACAACTTTGTGAAGGAAATACGTGGAGAAGTCTGTCTGTGAGAGCTGCGAGGCTGTGCAGATGGTGTGCCCTGTACTGCGGCATGTGGTACTCCTCCTCTGGCGACCTGCTCACTGGGGCCAGTGGTACCCGAGTGCTGCCTTGTTCAGCGGGCTTGGCAGCACTGATGCTGTTGACACTCCCCGTTCTGACGCTTCTTCCTTTGGCTTCTGATCTGTCCCGCCTGTCGGGCCTTCCCCTGTGTCCCGTTGAAGGCGGTTCTCCTCTGCCTGGCCCTTATACTGAGGGGCTTGGTCTGAGGCCTCCCTCCTGTGCACTGTGCGCTCCAGCCACCCCCCTACACTGTGTCCCCAGCTGCAGACCCTCATGTCAGCACCAGGCACCTCCCTGGGTGCCACAGACGTAATTGTCGGGAGTACCTCCCCTCAGTGAGCCGTGTGTCACTGGAGGACCCTGCTGTCCAGTTCTGCCGGCACAGACTGTGGGCTCTCTCCTTCCTCACGGCCAGTCAGTCCCCAAGTCCAGTTTGCTTTTCTCTGGAGCCTCTGTAGCCCTCACTTCCCCTCCCTGCTCGCCACACTGATGTCCCCTGCTCCCAGCTCAGCCCCAGACGACTCATACCCAGGCCCCTGCCTGCAGGCCTGAGGGTGTCTCGCTGGGGGTCAGCACTCTGGCTCCCTCCAAGGCCAAGGTCTCCTGCACCACCCTGGAGGGCTGTGGCTCTGGTGTCCTCACAGGCCCGCAGAGACGGTCCGTGCACGTCCCTGGGGCATTTGAGTTGCTTTGCGATGAGTGGATGAGTGGTCATAGCGTCGCAGTCCCTCCGGCCTTGGGTGTTGAATGATTTTACGAGAGCTTGTTATCTGCGCTCTTCTCTTCAGGAAACCGGGTGGGGTGGGGCCCGGGTCCCCTGCCCACTGCTCACCTCGGGGGCCTGGAGCTCCCTGTGGTCCCTGTTTGGGCACAGCCGGTAGTGGGAGGGGGTGGCTCCCGTGGGAACAGCCATTCCTCTGGCAATTTCATACAGTTTTTGTACCTTTCCGCGCATTTCTTTCTTTCCATGGATCCTGTCCTTTTATTAATACACTGTGACAGCCGTGGGGCCCAGAGCACAGACAGGAGGCTGGGAACGTCCCACCTTCCCTGTGCTTTTCAGCTTTGGAGACAGCATGCTTTTCTGTGTTCCGTCTGTGTTATTTCATAGTATCAATAGTTTGATTTTTCAGCCCCGAACATGAAAAACACTGAAGTAGATGGTGAGATGGGAGCAGAGGGTGCAGGCCTCCCCGCCTCCCCGCCCACCCCCGTGTCAGGGCCTGTCTGCTTCCGCAGCGTCTTTGGATGGGCCGGGGCCACACTGGCCGGGCCCCCTCCATCTCGCAGGGGGCAGGGCAGTGGTCTGGGTTTCGGTTGTTTTGATTTGGAAATTGGTTGTCGTTGCCCTGGGGCCCCAGGCCCGCTGTCTCCTCGGGGTGCCTCATTCACGAGGTGCTGCTCTGATTGCGGGATCCAGGCTGGGGGTCTGGTCTGTTTGGAGGAAGCTGGATGGCCGGGTTCCCACAGCTGGGAGCTGGGGCACAGCTGCTTTCTCTGGTGCCGGGGCCTTTGCCTCAGGCCGGTGAGGCCAGGCACGTAGGCTCCGCCACATCAGGCCTAGCGGCAGGAAGTAGAGATTTGTTTTCCTCCAGGCGTGCATGTGACCCACGGGCAGGGGTCGGAGCCTCTGGCTGCTGTAGCTACACTCAGCCCCGTGCGGAGCTGGGACACGCTGTGAAGAGGCTCATTCCCTGCTGCCTGTGCGCGATGGCGACCAGTGTCCTGGCTCTTTTGTCAGGGCGTTTGGCCCTGACGAATGGGAGGAATGATCCCACAGGAATCATCTGTGACCTGAGCCTCATGGAAAAACACTTCTGGGGTTTATGAGAATTAAAGTGACACACGGCCCGGAGGATGCTGGGGACCAGGGTTCCCGGCCCTGTCCTCCCACCCACCAGCCCCACACCTTGGACAGGTGACGTCCTTCCCTGGTCCTAGCTTAGTCCCAGGTGGGTCTGAAGCGCCGCTGCTGGCTGCTTCCTGAGATCCCGATGACATCAAAGGGGCAGGTTGGCCATGGCCATAACAGTGATTGTTGCCAGAGCAGAGGCCTGTGAGGGCAGCCAGCCTGTCGGGGCAGTGTCTTCATGGTCACAAGTGTGGGGACCAGTGAGGCAGGGGCTGCCCAGGCCTCATATTAGGGGGGCGGTGATGTCACTGAGTGGCTGGCACTGCCCTTAGATGGCTGCGTCAGACGGCCCACGGCCACCGCACCTTACTGCCGCCTTTCCCTGGGGCTGTCAGCAGATTTGCGCCCCTTTGCACCTTAACCTGATCACTTTCCTCACCACAGTTTATGGACAAGTCCTCCAGGCCGGATTGGCGGCCACTGAGGGAGTGACCTCTGGGATCACTGCCCCCAGAGCTGCTGCCCTTCAGAGGGTCATGGTTGAGCAGTCCCCAGAGGGCAGCGTCCTGGGTGCCTGCAGTCAGGGCTAGATGCTTCCTTTTGTTGACGGAGTTTGTGTCCACACTACCTGCTGCTTTTGTCAGGAGAGCCCCACCCTCCCCACCCGCCCTTTGTCCCTGGGCCCTACTTGGTGTCAGGACCTAACGGTTTGTAAGGGGGTCGGGCTGGCAGACTTTGTAGAACTCCCTACGGAGGTGAATAGCTTTGTTCTTTGGCCGCTGCTCCCGGGGAGTGAGGACTGCCGCCTCGAGCACGGTCACCCAGGAAGCGGACTCGTGCATTTGAAGGCTGCATGAAACAGCAGTAAGACATGAAGCAGGGGGTGCTGGGGATTGGGGTGCTCTCTTTTTCAGTTTGTGGCATTTTCATAAAGCGTGTGAATTTCCAAATTTCATTGTGGAGTTTCAGCTTCAAAAGGGTTCTTGCAAATAAAGGTAAAGGCTACTTTCTAGCTGAATTGCTTTATCATATAATAAAATACTCTGAATGACGTGTTTCTTCTGTAGTTGTGAACAATTTAATTTGAATATGGAGTAGGTGCCCCTTCAAAGAGTTGAGGTGGTTCTCGGAGATGCACTGTGGGAGCCCCACACACCCCCTTACCCCCCACCCCCCGGTCATTGGCGCCAAGTGCAGGCTGGCGGCTGGTCCTCAGAGTGCAGGGGTTGTGATGTCCTATAAATGATGGGGAGGAGGCTGGACCACAGCTTTTCCTAACACAGCGCTGCTGCTCCCTGGTGCCCCAGAGGCGGAGCCCCCAGCCCCCAGGGCTGTGTCCTCTCAGGCCAGGGTTTGGGTGGCTCAAATTTCTGCTGCTGTGGTTGCAGCGATCTGGTGTGCAGGGTGGGGGCCTGTCACGGACACCAGCTGGTCCTGGGCTCGGCCCCAGCCCCCCATCCTGCCGTGCTTCCTGCAGAGGCTCAGCCTGCTGGGCCTGGGGGCCTCCGCCCCCGCTCGGCCACCTCCTGAGAAGCCCGAAGTGTGTGTTGCTCACATGTTTTCTTTCTTTTCCTGCAGAATATCGACATCACCAACTTTAGCAGCAGCTGGAACGACGGGCTGGCCTTCTGTGCCCTCCTGCACACGTACCTGCCCGCCCACATTCCCTACCAGGAGCTCAACAGTCAGGATAAGGTGAGGCCGTGGAGGGCAGACGGTGAGGAGGGGAGAGAGCCCTCCATGGTGGTGGGGAGGGCAAGCTGCTGGCTCCTCGCACACCCCGGTGGCCTCTCTGGGAATGACATTGAGGGTCAGGGCTTCTTGAGGAGAGTGGTCTGGGCAGCGCCACCCACGCCAGGCCACCTTCCCCACGTCCAGCCACGACCGCCTCACGGTGCAGCCCTGCCCAGACGGGCACTGGGAGAGGACCCAGGCCCAAGCCCTCTGGTGTGCACCCCCATTGGCCCCTCCTGCCCTTCAGATGACCTTTGAAAACCCCCACGGGGAGGAAACAATTTCACAGGTGTTGCTTATTAGCTTTGGGGGTGCTCGGCAGCTCAGAGCTGATGTGTGAAAAGTGACCCTCCTGTGCAGAGAGGAAAGAACAAGTGTGTGGGTGTCACTCCGCAGCTGGTCACCAGAGGGGCGGGGTGGCGGGCATGGGTGTGGACCGGGCTGGTCAGGCTGCCCTCCCCGGCCCCGCTCATGCACCTGTCACACGGTTTCTTTTCCAGCGGAGGAATTTCACCCTGGCCTTCCAGGCTGCCGAGAGTGTCGGCATCAAGTCCACACTGGTGAGCCCCCGTCCCGAGGAGAGACCCCTGGGAGGCCTGGTGACCAGGAGGCTTCTGGGTGGGGACTGGGGCCCCGGCGGGCCCTGCACCAGCCACATGGACATCCTGCGGGTGGGGTGCAGATGGTCCCCGGCCTGGCGCTCTTTATGCCTCCCGTCAAGTGTCCCAAGGAAGCGCCCTGAGTGGGGGGTGGTCACGTTTCGCTGTCAAAAGCACATTCCAGCACATCTGCCTCGGATGAGGCAGGGGAGGGCAGGGCAAGGCCCCAGCGCGCTTCTCAAGGGCCCTGGGAAGGGAGGCGGAGGAGCCCTGGGGTCAGGCCCCCCCCCCCAGAGCCCTTGGTGCTGTGGCTGGGAGGCAACCCCGGGCTCTAACTAGCCTCTTCTCCCCTGTCAGGACATTAACGAGATGGTCGGGACCGAGCGGCCAGACTGGCAGAACGTGATGCTCTATGTGACGGCCATCTACAAGTACTTTGAGACCTGAGCACCTGAGGCCCCACAGTCACCCCGAACGCAGCGCCCTACACTCTGCCCCTGGCCGCCCCGCAGCGTGTGAGCCCTGCCCCCGGCGGGCAGGGGACTCGGCCTGTGTGGCCCGCGCTTGGGCCAGGCTCTTCCACCTGGCCTCTGCGGCCAGGGCCCCGCGCACACGCTGACCTGCTGGAGAGATTGGGGAACCATTAGCACTGGGGTGGGAGGAAAGGCTCACTCACGGTCCAACCTAGGGAAGGGGATTCGTGCGCGGGCAGCTCCCTAGGTTGTGAAAGCTTCCTGCAGCACCTCAACTGCTCGCCCCTGAGAACCGGGGCGGGGTGGGGGGGAATGGGTACCTGATAGGCCCCTGTTCCCCTCCTGTGTGACAGAGCATCCTCGCCGGCGATACAGACCATGCCCCCCGCCCTCAGGCTCTGCCAATCTCCAGCTCCAGGGGCTCGGAAACCCAGCACCAACCTCAGGGTTCCAGACAAAGGAATCTTTCCTAAGGAGTTCTCTTTTTATCTTACGAGCAATACTGGGGGGAAATGACTCTTGTTCTCTTAGTACCAAAGTTAAATTGTTTTGGTAAGTGTAGCGATAAAACACAAAACCTGGACATAAGGTGATGAAAGCCAGAACCAACGTCGCAAGAAACAGGAGGAAAAGCTGAACAGGTCAAGGGGCCCAGATGGTGCGATTTCAGTCCCTGAGTCGCTCGGAAGTGACCCTCCTGGCTGGGGTGGAAGAAAGTGCCTTAGCTCTGCAGGCGAGGCTGCCGCCGCCATCCAGATAACAAGCCTCAGCCCTTCTTGGGAGCGGGGAGCCGCTGTTGGTTCAGTTTCGAGACCTGCACTTCCAGAACACAAGCAGGAGGAAGACCGGCCATTGCCCCACAGAATGGCAGGCCGGGGCTTAGAGAGGCCGCCCAGCCAGCCTGGGGGCTGCGGCTCCATGCGTGAGCAGGAAGTTCAAGACCAGGGGTCGGACGAGTCAACAGCCCAGGGCAGAGGGCGGCTGTGAGACGGGCTGTACATGCAGCCCGCTGGCCCAGGTCACCGGCTGCCACCCCCGGGGAGGCTCCTGGTGAAACGCCTGTTTTTAGCTGCAGAGCAGCGCCCAGCCCAGAGCACACAGGAGACCCCTCCTCCCTGAAGGCTCTGTCCTCGCATCTGCTGCCCCGCTGGGCACCTGTGCTGTCAGCTGAGTGACTGTCAGGGGAGAGTTGTTGCTTTTCAGTGTCTCTCCACTTGGTTTTTCTCTCATCTGCCCTTATGGTGGCCTGTGTGCCTGATCTGCGGCCACATTTTTGCCTATTATGTGAGGCGGCTGTTTTGGCCAATGGAGACTTTCCTGGGTCTGCAGTTCACACCGCTGTCCCTGGCGGCTCCTGCTGCAGGGCCTGTGGGTGGGGGGGTCGCCGGTGTCCTCTGGAGGAGCGTGGCCACTGCTGATGGGCTGGTGTTGCCCGGCCTCAGCCCCCGGGGTTGGTGACGGGGCAGAGGGGGCTACAGGGAGGGCTTCCTGGGTGCCCAGCCGCCCATGATTTCCACATGGATCCACGGCTGAGAAGGTTCCAGAAGCAAGACATTTCGCTTTTCCTGGTAGGATCCTTGTACTGTTGGCTTTAAGGGGTGACCCTGGACGGTCCTGTGTTCCTAGAAGTGGTGCTGTGATGTGCTTTGGGTCCAGTGGCAGTTGCTGCGAAGTCTCCAGGAAGACATCCTGCCTCCTCCCTTTAAGCACAAGCTTTACTGCAAAAGGACCAGTGTTGGTTTTCTCTCGACCACAAGCTTCTGCTGACTGATGATACTGTTAAGTTTTTGTTCTATTAAATGTTCTTGAATGTATTAAAATTGTCATGACACATCAGGCTTGGGCTTTTCTGGGTCGCTGTGAACAGGACCCTCGCCACCTCCAGGGACTGGCTGTGGCAGGGAGGGCACCTGAGCCCACAGGCCAGGAGACCTCGCCAGGGGGCCTGAGTGGGGTGGGGCAGGGGAGGCTTTGGCCATCTGCCTGCATCTGGGGTGGGATGGCCCAGGTGAGCCATGCGGCCTGGGCGGCCTTGTGACTGCGGAGGTTCTGTAAACAGGCACCAGGCCCCAGAAGCACCACCTGAGCTGCCCCCACACCCCCCACCTGTGGCCCAGACATGTGCTGCTCTGGGTTGGGGAGGGTGCCTTGAGGTTTTCTGGGTTTTTTTAGAAATGTGTCTTCTTGGAGATAATTTTGAGAATGTATAAAATTATAGAGAAAAAAAATCAATAATTATACCACTCACAGGCACCCAACCAATCAAGCCTTTCTTCCTGGGCATCTTGTGTGGAATGACAGTGACTCCACAGAGCACAGCCGGGAACAGCACTGCACCTCGTCACGTTGCACATGACACAGGTCACGTGCAGAGGCCGTGGTGTCCCCTCCTGTTCACACTGGCAGACCTGGGCGCCCCTCCCAGGCCTGCAACCCCCTCCCCAGGGTCAGGGTTTCATATGGTAACTGATTCGCTCCCCGGGAGGCCCAGAGCCGCCAGCTGAGTGGAGAGCGGTGGCTGGGCTTCTCCCCACTCAGCAGCTGTGTGGCCAGGGCTATGTGGCCGGGGCCGAAGATGCTGAGCTCCCTCCCTTGGCTGCTGCAGGGAGGTCGTCCAGCCAAGGCCACAGGCTCTGAGACACGGGCCTGTGGGCCCTGCATGTGGCGGCAGGAGTGGGGGACCCCACCCGGGACCCTGGGCAGTGGGGGAAGCTCTGCTGTCTTAGCTGCTGCCCCACGGGTGGGGTCCCTCCCCAGAACACTCCTGCCTGCTGTGCCAGCTGCCTCAGTAGCAGACCGACTCCTCATCTCCAGAGCCTCTCTGGCGCGGCTGGGCAGGCTGGGGAGCGTCCTCTTGGGCTTGGGGAGGCCTGGCTTCCCTCCCACGGCACAGCACTCCTGCGGCCCAGGGTTGGCCAGGTTTTGTCTAAGGTGGTCCCTTGGGTGGGGACAGGGACAGACATCAGGGCTCTGGTGCCTGCAGGCCCCGTGCTGTGTCGGGGTGAGGGGCGGGTTCTCGTCAGGCCCCAGGTTGCTGGGAAAGTGCTGGCCAGAGTGCCAGCCCCAGCAGGCCAGGATTTCGCTGGGCTGCCCTGGTCATTGGTGCAGGAGGCAGCATGGGTGCACAGAGGACAGGGCTCCACGCTCCCTGGGCTCGACCCGCTCCCTTAGCGGGGAGCACTTGGGAGAGCAGGCTGGGTGTGCAGGAAGGGCCAGGAGCTGGGGGACTTGTGGAGAAGGGCAGAGGGTGACTGGACATGGCCTGCAGTCTGTGCCACCCCAGCTGTGCCAGGCCCAGGGCAAGGGCAGGCCCCAGGAGCCCTTGCATGGTGATGTCTGCATTATT